AAGACGTCCCCATCCTCTAACTATTCACTGTTTCATTTTATCAAGATTTTAAAGCTCCTACCTGGTTTCCTCCAGGCATTTTTCTCCCCAACCCCACCCACCATCCACCTCACATTTCCTAAACCTCTACAATCCTTGTACTAAATTTGACTTCTTTTCCTCATTCTGCTCTAAAAGCCATGTCAGTCTGCTCCACCTTCTTCCTCTGGGCCTGGGGCCCTCAGCTCCAGCATCTCTCATGCACTCCAGTGTGCTCCTGAGAGTGGCTGCCCCTCACCCCTTCTCTGCTCCCGTTATTCCTCATTCTTCAGTTGCTTATTCAACACCGCTCCATAATTAATTAGTGCTTACTAAGAGCTAATTGTGTTTTCTTAGATTCTATCCTTTACTTGGCAGTTATAGATACTGCCTATTTAACTTCTAGGAATCAGTTTGAGAGGCCAGTGTGTGCTAATTATGTGTGTGGAGAGGTGGACGGGAATTAACTAACAATGAAAGAGAATGTCTGCTTTGCAGGTGAGAATATGGGAGGTCCATAAAAAAAATCCAATTTCCTACGTTAGTTTGGTTTGTATTTGTGAGATGTCCCAATGCTCTGAATCCCTGCCAAAGGAATAAATTGAGACGTTCCTGCAGGATATTGGAGAGGACCCATCATCTAAGATTAACTTCTCTTTCCTGTCATATTGCCCACACTCCCCCAATGGCCCCACCGGCATCCTAAATGGGGCTCATCCGGGATAACTGCCGTTGGCAATGGCTAAAATTCCGCCACTGGAGGTTCGTCCTATTACTGTAAGTGTGTAGGTACAGAAAAGTTGGAACAACTCTGGGAGACACAGCACATGAATCTGGGTTCACAGGTAACTGCTTCGTGCGCAGAAGATGTATACCTTCCCAAGACGTCAGGCAGGTTATGTTTCCTTTTTGGAAAATAAGAAATATGACAAGTGATTGCTCCTTGGTCCATGCTGCTCAGAAAGTGCTAATGAGTCCTTAAGTGAGTGAAATGATAGCTGACGAAGGTCTGGAGGCTAAGGAGGGTGAGAACACCACAGCTCCCAGGAAGGACTGAACAGATTGACCAGAATGGGGGCTTCCAGAGAGACAGTGTGCATACCTCTGTTCATAGGGGCAGGGATCCATAAAGAGGAGAAATAGGAGGAAGCTGGTGCTAATACAGCAGGAAAGACAAAGTTTCATGCAGTATATTTCCCACCTCCCAAAACTGCTGTGGCTCTTACCCACTCTCCTGGGCCCTCACCTCCTCCCTCAGCAGAGTCCATGGTTGAGGTTGGCAGTGGTGGTTTTCAATAACATTAAATTTTGGGTCTTACGAAAGAGTATAAGCGTGCGCCACCAAGAATCCAATATCTGCTCTGGCATGTTCTCCCCTCTTCTACTAAGAATGGAAGTTGAGGTGAGGGATTTCACTCTCCCTAATCCTCCAGTGCCCCAGACCAGGCAGCTTTTGTTCACAGAAAGCAAAGAACCTCTTTTGCCAATGGTCAGTGTCACTCAGGAAGGAGACATGCTCTTACTGGGCAGCTGAGCACAGAATCCCACCTGATGGAAGGCAGCAGTGCACTGAGGCAGAGAGAGATGGGCATCAGGAGGCACGGAGGGAAGGAGATTCTGGGGAAAGGACATACCTTAGAGAGCCTGGAGACTTCAAGAGGACAGAGGAACAGAGCTGGAAAAAGCTGGGAACAAGGGAAGAAAAAACCTTCAGAGAAATGTTTGCCCTACCTAGAGCCTGATTTTTTCTGTTACAAAACACCTATTTCTCTCTCCTGTTCTGGATGAACTTGTCTCTGGCCAGTAATTCTTCACACATTAGACACCCAGTTCTTCTAAGAACAGCACAGAATATTTTCTTTCTCGTGGAAAGCCACAAATAGGCAAGAAAACACCATGGCCAGACTCTGGGTATACTCAGGAAACTCTCCCTCCTCCTCATCCTCGCAAACCTTTCCACAGGCCAGTCTCCACCCTGGGAGTGCAGATTCCTCTCACCTGATCCTAGGTCCTCGTTGCAGACGTCTCTGCATTTAATTCTCACTGTGAAGCTAAACACAGCAATACAGCTCTCTGCAAATGGGTGACTTGGAATCTGGTCTTCTGGGATGGCATCTCTGTTTAGGATGCCATGTGTTGGCCAGGGGAGCCTGGCAGTTTCAGAGACACCTGGCCAGTGACCTCTGTTCCCTGAAGTCACAGCCTGAAGCCAGATTTTAACTCGTTGCCTGAGTAAAGTTAACTTTCTAAGCCACAGGGAATTCTTTGGCCTGGGTGTCTTTTGGAGCTTCTGGGTTGACACACAGTTCTAACCTTGGTAAGAGCTCCTGAGGGCCTGTGCCCCCAAGAGAGGAGGACGGGTCGGGAGAATTTTCCTGCGATACAATTTCATAGTTAGTAGCCGGACGCCTCATGTGTGAATTCCCTAGGAGCTGGCTGTGCACCCTCCTCACATCCATATTATTGTCCTGTGGTCACACAAGCTGCATTTCTGAATATAAACAGCCTGATGATGAAATGATGGAAGGAACTGAGAACACAAAGATTTATGTGTAGATACGTTATGGGAGACATCTGTGAACCCCCAACCTATAGTCTGGTGCTTAAAAGGGCTGGTGTGAAACCACCCTTAAAGCTAACACAACTTTTCAGGGAACAGCTTTATCTCCAGGAATGAATTTTCAACTAAAAAATGCATCTAAATGGGCAGCATAAATTATATTTTTAGATTTTTTTTTTGACTTGACTGTTTTGGCCAAAATGTCAAAACATATTTTATATGATCCAAATATAATAATTAACATAGATAGGACTAGGTGGTGGCATTGCTTAGGAGAGCAATGGAAGATTAATTTTAAGAATTTTATCTAAAGAAGCATATATTTCCTTCCCAATATATTGTTAGTACTGAGAAATACATTAGAGATTCTCAGTAAAATAAGCTATCCTCGCACCTGAAAAATTTACATCTAGGCAGGGACTTTCCCACATCACTAAAACGTTATTCTTCAGGAGAATAAATTCTGTCCCATTAATCTGTTTTAATTTCTGACTTTATTACACAGTATTGACTGAATGGATTAGTTCAAAAATTTTTCTATAGGTGATCTTTTAAATACTGCTACCTTGCTATCAATTTATATTATATGGTGAATATTAAGCTTTGAAAATGGGTACTACCACTGTATTCTACAATGCAAATGGGCTCTTTGGTCTAATGACTTTGGAAACTATTAAATGATGGAACTTGGTGATAGGATTGGCCTAGTCGGGCTGAGCCGGGTGAGTGAAGCACTGGTTCATAAGGACCTGTGAATGATGTTCTGGAAACCTGATCCAATCACCTTCTGAGATGAGCCCGTCCCACCTCCTGTTCAGGTCATTCAAGTAAATATTGTGGACTAAGACCAAAGGAATGACTGTCCTAACTTACATATTGATTTATGACAGAGCTAGGACTGCACTTTCATAGATGATTTTTCTAATTCTCATTATGCTCCTTATAAGCAAAGAGGCAGATACAATACCAAGGTGCCTCTAAGTATTTCGATTTATATATTTCTAATACATTTACATTATAAAGCTAGTTGTAAAAAATGTGTGATGTTTTATTGTTACTGGCAAATACCATATTGATTGACAATAAAGGAAAGAGGGAAATGGTAAATATTTGAAACAGAATAAAGAGACATTTATAAGATATATATAGATATATACAGAAACATTTCTTCAGTATATATGTATTTCCTTCCTCACACAAAAGATTATCTTCATCACAATTAACATTACATTTTTACTGGAGCAAAAAGATTAAGAATCTGAACTTGTGACATCTCCCTTAGATAGGAAACTCTCCCTCCTCCTCATCCTCGCAAACCTCTCCACAGGCCAGTCTCCACCCTGGGAGTGCAGATTCCTCTCACCTGATCCTAGGTCCTGCCTCGGAGATGTCTCTGCATTTCATTCTCATTTAATTACATAGTAGGTTTTTTTACAAAACTGTTTGATTCAGGGATTTGAGTTAACTCCCAGTGGGAACAAGGTCTTCATGGCTTATAAGTATGTTAATGAGAATTTAGTCGGGTGTCATAAGTAAGTATTCAGGACTACAGTTTTATATTATAATAAAATGTTAAAATACTGTATTAAGAGAAGTGAATCTGAATTATACATGGTGTAACATTTTGCTTTAATGGCACTTCTTTTTAAATGCATTTATTAATTGTTATGCAATTGGTTTTAAAATTAGAGAATTTAACTTTAATTTAGAAACATAAAGAGGTATTTTCTGGTTCATATATTTGAAAGCAATTAATTTTCCCTATCCTGTGATACCAGGATATTGTCCTGGGCATCTATGTAGCAAGGGGCATTTTAAGTGCCAGAATGAACTCTACAAACATAATTATGACAATGATTATGGCAGACTCCCTGGCCTACAGAGGTTTTGACAGCTCAGTGAGGATCATGTGTGTGACAGGGCAGTAGTGGAGAAACGTGCTATGTACGGAAATGGCAGTGTGCAAAAGGCAGGGCTGATGTAGACAAGAGACACTGCTTATCCAGCATGTTGAACATGAATGGTCACGTGGGAAAGTTCAAAAAAATTTAAATAGATGATGAATAGCATGATTCATGAGTTTAGTGATTTAAAACTGAAATCAATTAGGGATGAGACTCTAGGTAGATAGAAGTTGATTGTCTGTGGTTTTATATGTCATGCTAAATAAAGTAACTTGGAATTTTACTTCTCCAGCACTGGGCATAAGGTTTTAAACTTAGAAGAACATGGGCATATAAGCACTTTTCTAGGTAACATTGTACTACAGGCATAGAAAATGAATTTGAGGGGAGCAGAACTGTGGGAGGAGATCGATTAGGAGGATGCCTGTAATTTAATTCTGAAATAATGAAGGTCTGAGTTAGAGCTGTGTAAAAGGAAAAGAAGACTAAGGAGCTGAGTTCTACCTGTTTTTGGACGCTTATGGTAAATGAGAGACGGGAGTCAGCGTTCTGTCCCAGTTTTAAACTGGAGGAATCTGATGGATTCCTAGAGCCACTGTGTGTTACAAAATTGTTTCCAGTAAAGTGGTGACTTGAAATCACAACACTACTGCTACATAATTTCCAAATCTGCTCAATCAAATACAAAACTGAAAAAGAAGATCTTAAAGGAATTGTGTTAAAAACAAAGTTCAACCAAGTACATTTAAAGATCTAATTGGCTTTATTGAGTGATTCATGAGTGGAGCAGCATTCCATCCACCAAACAGAGATAAGCTCTGAGGTGCTGAACAAAATGGAAGATTTTTATAGGAAGGTGGATGGGGCAAGATATTATTAGCAAAAGAAAAGGTTCCAGGCAAGGTCTCCTTCCCTTAGAGGAAGCCATGTAGAGAGAGATTTCCTCATCTTTCTGGGGCTGGGGAATGGAGAGGCTCATGTGACAGATTACCTCTTTGGTGCCAACCAGAAATTTTCTGAGAAAAAATCAAAGCTCTTAAAGGAATTGGTAAGGAAAGTAGAAGAAATAATCTGAGTCCACAGTTAATGTAAAAGTTCCCTCATGGGGATAAGTGTGCACAAGCATCTGATACTCTAGGGCAGTCTATGGCCATGGACCAAATCTGGCTCACTGCCTGTGTTCTGTGAATAAAGTATATGGGACTGCAGACAAGCTCATTCATTTACTTACTGTCTGTGGCGCCTTGGTGGAAAAACGGCAGAGCTGAGTAGTTACAACAGGATCTGAATGGATCTCAAAGTCTAAATATTTACTATCTGGCCTTTTACAGCAGAAGTTTGCCATTCTCCGGTGTTGAGCTGCATTGGCCAATGTGGTAGCCACTAGCCTCATGTGTTCATTTAATAGAAAATATTTAAAATGAAATAAAATGTAATGTTCAATTCCTCATTTGAATTAGATACATTTCAAGTGCTCAATAGTTTCACACAACTGGTAGGACTTGACTGGACAGGCCTCAAGTAGAACATCTCCATGATTATAGAAAGTTCTCCCTGATGACACTGGTCCTAAACGTAGATGGTCAAGTAGCACTGGGCTCAGAACCTTGGGTCCACACAGGGAGATGGGTGCCTTCTCCTCCCCTTTCTTGATGCCCCTTGCCCAACACGTTCCCAGGGCCCTCAACCTACCTTCAACAGAATTCCTTTTGCACCACCTCCTCGAATTTTCAGAAGCTGAACAAATCATCTAAGAACAATTCAACAGGGGATATTTTCTGAAGGAAGAAAGTTTGTCTTAATGATCAGTTCCTTTAGTGACATCGATTTCCACAGCATACACACAGCCTCGGTTATGGGCACAGACCTATGAATGTGCATGAACTTCTAGAATCCAAGCAATATGTTGGGGCTTTTCAAAGTGGACATCTCCTTCCTCATCTATTCATTTACAGCTTTTTGATTAGCATATTGTTTTCTCCAACTGTTATCCATTGTCTTAGGCAGCTGTGATGTTTCACATTTGCCTCTTACTTTTATCAACAGACATTCCTGAGGAAAATACTGTTCACACATGGCCACCAAGCCTTTCAAGTGGGATCTTGCAGGGAATCACCACAGAGGTAAAATAATGACTGTTTTCCTGAAGTGAACTGTCATTACTGTTTATTACATTACATTGATTCATCTTTCTAAGTTTTTCGGGAAAAGCTTTAAATGAAAAAAGTTAATATATCACACAGAGTCTGTATACCATTTATCCACCTTTCTCTCATGTAGACATATAACCATGGTACATTTCTCAAGAAGTTAATATTAGAACAATATTATGACTTGAACTATAGTCTTTATTCAGAATCGCCAGTTTTTTCCACTAACATCCTTTATTGTGCCAGTAAATGATTCAGGATACCATATTGTACTGAGCCATCATGTCTCTTTAGCCTTCTCCAATCATGAGTGTTTCTCAGTCTTTCCTTGTTTTTCATGGCTTTGATAGTTTCCAAGAGTACTGTTTGGGCATTTTGAGAATGTCCCTCCATTGTGATTTGTCCAATGTTTTCTTGTGATTAAATTGAGGAGATGGGTTTGTTAAGAAAACCACAGATGTGTAATACCCTTCAATCTCATCATACAGGGAGTTATGATAAAAGCATAATTTATCACTGATAATGTTACTGATCACTGGATTAAAGTGTTATCTGCCAGTTTTGCCCCCTGTAAAGTTATTGTTTTCCCCTTTCCATTCTCTGTTCATTGTAAGTGAGTCACTAAGTCCCACCCATGCTTAAAGGAAGAGAATTAATTATCATCTCCTGGAAGTAAGATTATTTACATCTATTATTTGAAATTCTGCACAAATTTGTCCCTACAATCTTTCTTAAAAAAAAAACAGGTGCAATAAAATGCTGTTCCAGGTAAATTTTATAAACAAGAATTGAGTATTGTATATCACTAACTTCTGTCTCAGGATACCTAAGACATCTGTGAAATTCAAGGTATTACTATTTTTAGGGCTGAGATGAACACCACATACCATAAATTAGCCATTTTAAAGTGAACAACTCAGTGGCATTTAGTACATTCACCTTGCTGTGTAGTCACCACCTCCGTCTAGAGCCAAATATTTTCATCACCTCAAAGGAAACCGCATGCACAGTAAGTGGTGGCTCTCCTCTCATGTGAGTGATGCGGTGCCTGAGAGCAGCACACCACGGGTCCCCTGAACAGCGGCCAGTTGTGTGACAGCTGAAAGATGAGAGACAAGGATGATTTCAGGTTTCAGTCATGATGAGGTCAAAACCAGAGTAGCTGTCTAGAGCACATAGCCTGCACTCTGACAGGAAAAGAATACTGATAAAATAGGCCAATTGGATAATATCTAAATCTGAATGAAGATCAGTGAGAAATGAAGTGTCTAGAGCCGCAGAGCCTCCTTGCAGCCTCTCACACGGGAGATCTGCCCCCACACTGCACATCCAGAGCAGGCCTTGGAAACTTTGTGTGTCTGAACTCTGCCTCACTATGTTCATTATGTCTCTGTAGAAATTTTGGCTTTTAATACCTGTCTACAACAGCTACACAGTTGGAATTCCTTTTGACCATTTATTTGTGTCTTCCTCAATTTCTTTTCAGTGTCTTACAGTTTTCAGTGTACAAGTCTTATATGTGATGTTAACTGTAGGCTTATCATATGTAGGCTTTATTATATTGAGGTGCATTCTTTCTGTACTTATTTAGATTTGTCAAGAAAGGACATTGAACATTGTCAAAATCTTATCCCATATCCATTAAGATGATAACATGATTTCTATCTTCTGTGTTAATATGGTAAATATCATGTGTTTTGAGCCATTCTTGCATCATGGAATAAATCCCAGGTGATCATGGTTTACTATCCCTTTAATGTGCTCTTGATTTCTGTTTGATAGTATTCGGTTGTGTGGTTTTGTGTCTTTATTCATCAGGGATATTGGCTTGTAGTTTTCTTATGTTGTAGTGTCTTTGTCTGGTTTTGGTATCAGGTTAATGATGGCCTTGTAAAATGTTCCCTCTTTGTCAATTTTTTGAGAGAGCTTGAGAAGGACTGGTGTTAATTCTTCTTTAAATATTTGATAGAATTCACCAGCAAAGATATGAGGTCATGAACTTTTCTTTGTTGGGAGGTTTGATTATTGAATCAGCCTCTTTACTTGTAGAAGTCTGTTCAGATTTTGTATTTTTGAAGATTCAGTCTTGTTAGGTGGCATGTTTCTATCAATTTATCCATTTGTTCTAGATAATGCAATTTTTTTGTGTATTATAGGCTCATGTTGTATTTTCTCTGCCTCAGCTTTAGAATCACCTGGTTCTCCATGCAGCACTGGGCTTTATTGGAAAATGGTATTAGAAACCAAGCTCTGGGAGCTGAATGTGCTCCTGGCTCCTGGGGTGTTGTTACTTTCAGGCCCTCGGCTGACAGAGCAAGGAAATGCTGATGTTTACAAAGCTGTGTGTCTGTAATATATTCTGTAAATATTTCTGTATATACACTGAAGGAGAAGAATATTTTCATTTTTACCTCCTTGGATGTCACAAAAAGAGTCACAGACAACACTTTGGGATTATGAATGATACTTTTATCATTTTCAAAGTTTTCATATTTCCCAAATAGTGCCTTATTTTATAATTGGAGAAATAAAAATGTTCAATGTTTTAAAGAATTGGCAAATTAAAAGAAAATGGAATTCTTCATTAAAATTGTAGAGGAGTAATTGCTATGTTCACAAAGCATATAAAATTCCACATATGGTGCCTGGCTCATAGTAACAGCTCAGTAAATATGAATTTCCTCATCTCTTTTGCTAATGGCTAAGATCAGAGTAATGCTAAAATATACTGGAGTGGCTTTTCTGCCCTGTGCCACTAGGTGAAGGTGCCAGGAGAGGCACAGAGTATAGAAAGTGTCTGTGGGTCTGGCTTTGCCTTAATAGGACACTACCTCTCTCAGCATTACTTAGCTCCTTCCGTCTTTTCTACAAATCCCTCTCCAGTGCAGACTCACCCCCAGCTCTCTGTTCAACCGTAAATCTGAAGTTTATGTCTCCTTTTTATCAGTGGACGTTGATTTTTTATGTATAGCATAGCTTCCTTTTTAAATATTAGATCAAGATAAGAATTGAGGTTCTAGACAGTTAGCACTGACTCAGTGCTAACTGCATTGGGAATGTTTCATAACTAAAAGGTAGTGTAAGTTTATACCAAATTAATAATGTACCAAAAATTGGTGCTAAAATCTGTATCAAAATAATAATTACCAGATATATTGCTTTGTCCCTAAAGGAAGTAATTATGAGCCAAAGTAAGCAAGTAGCTCTTGGTTTTTCTTTAGCATTTCAAAGGAAACAGGCTCTTGTAAGATATTTTGTCATATCTATTGTGAAGTAAGAAGCTTTTCCCTATTCTATTATTCAACCATTTGATGAGATTCTACCTCATTTGCTAGTCATCTTCTGCTTGCTCTCTGCTCTGTGAGATGTTGTAGACCTTTTTGCAACATTCTTTTCAGAGCAGCTTTTACTTCCTTGTTCTTTAAGCTGTAGACCAGGGGATTCACTAGGGGGCTGACCACACAGTACTGTATGGAAAAAAACAACTCCAGCAGGGAACTTAAGGTTGGCATGAGATAGCGGAGGAAAGCAGATCCATAGAAGAAGCTCACTGCAGTGAGGTGGGAGGAGCAGGTGGAGAAGGCCTTGCTTCTGCCCGTGGTGGGCCTGATGCTCAGGATGGTGGTGACAATGCGGACATATGAGAAGAAGACCAGGAGTAAGGTCCCTGAGGCGTGCACAATAGCAGAGCACACGAGCACTGCAAAGTTGCTGGAGACATCAGAGCAAGTTAGAGAGAGCAGAGATGGCAGCTCACAGCTGAAGTGAGGCATCACATGAGCCTCACAGAAATCCAAATCCCAAGCCATGAGGATGTTCACGAGACCATCCAGAAAGCCCAGGCCCCATGAGGCCCATACCAGACCCCCACACAACTGTCTCCTCATCACCTGGCCATAGAGCAGCGGGCGGCAGATGGCATTGTAGCGGTCATAAGCCATGGCAGAGAGCACAAAGATTTCAGTCCCTGCAATGGAAAATACAAAAAAAGCCTGAGCGAGGCAGCCCTCTACTGAGATTGCTTTCTTCTGAGACAGGAGGTTCTCCAGCATCTTGGGCACAGTGACTGAAGTTAAACAAAGATCCAGAAAAGAGAGGTGACTCAGGAAGAAGTACATGGGTGAGTGGAGGTGAGAATCAGTCCTGATGACCAGCATCATCATGAGGTTCCCCATTATGGTCAGGAGGTAAATATACAGGAACAGGGCAAAGAGCAGGACCTGGATGTGGGGGTCGGCCGGCAGCCCCAGGAGGAGGAATCCCGTGATGGTGCTGTGGTTTCCTAGGACCGTGCTGGGAGATATTTTACTGGATTGAAAGCAGACAGATGCATGGGTGTTCACCTCCACATCGTGGCACCTCAGGCTTTCCATTTCACTCAGTGTCTGCACACATCTCTCCTCAGCCTGCTCATCTTTTACATTAATTTTTTAAAAAATCTACTTTCCCTGCTTTCCTAGAATCCTTTTGTCACTTAAATTTCTAACTGCACAGCTCCTCAACCCTATGCCCATGTATGCTCTTTCCACTTCTGAC